TACATTAAGATACATACATTAGTCGATATTTTGTGTCTGTACCTGTTGCACTTCTCCATAAATAAGAGGATTTGTTTCTTTAAAACCGCTTTCGTCCTTATTTATGGGCGTGTGGGCTCCACCCACCTTCATCGTATCCGAAATGTCGTTCACTACATTAAGATACATACATTAGTCGATATTTTGTGTCTGTACCTGTTGCACTTCTCCATAAATAAGAGGATTTGTTTCTTTAAAACCGCTTTCGTCCTTATTTATGGGCGTGTGGGCTCCACCCACCTTCATCGTATCTGAAATGTCGTTCACTACATTAAGATACATACATTAGTCGATATTTTGTGTCTGTACCTGTTGCACTTCTCCATAAATAAGAGGATTTGTACGGGGGATTGTTATCACTCAGTCATGTGCAACTTTCATGTCACTTAATCAACAATAGTGGCCGATAAGCATGCACAGGCAACCCCCAGCTGAGCAAATCCACCAATCAGATTCTCCCTGATATTCAAAATTTAAAATTTCCTAAGAGAAGACAAAGCTAAAATGGTAAGTTACTGTATACTGTCATAATTTTTGTCATATTTGATCTATTGAAGCCTCCAAAAAGGAAATTTAAAATCGATGTTGAGCTACTTGCTACATATATAGCAAGTGAGGGGAATCCTCCAAGAAAGGCTTCATGCCTTGAAGGGGGTTATTGGTATTTGGCAGCTAAGTTCTGCACTTCTTCCAAACAACCAAGCAACAGGCTTTGCCTAGCTGTTAGGAACTACTATGCTCAGAATCTGAAGTCATTATTAGAAAAAGTTGCTGAGGTACAGTACATGTACTTAAACATTCTACATTGCATGCTGACTTTTATAATCCAGTTAAGGAATAACACGTGTAAAGTTACTATCAATGATAAGCCTATGGTAAGCCCATAAGTATAATGTACATGTATGTACATTATAAGTATGTATGTATGTACACATACTGTAAGTATAATGTACATGCATTAGGATCAAGAGAGTGTCTCAGTGGCACACACCATGGTGAGCTCATGAGTATAATGCACGTAATACACACTAAATGATGTACATGCATTAGGATCAAGAGAGTATCTCAGTCGTACACACCATCATGGAACAAGAAGAAGATAAGGTAAGCTCATGACTACAATGCATAATAAATACTTGTCAAATTTTCCATCTTTTATTGCAGCTATATGTAGTTATTGCATATGTGAATGTCAAAATTGAAGGGGCGAACATGAACCATCAATTGACATTGTTTAGATAACATTAAAATAAATAAAATAAATCTAGCTCTTAACCTGCAAGCATATTCAGACCCCGTCCTCATGGCCGGGGTCTGAACAGAGGAAACACACCAGTTAACACAACCAAAATAACCCAGTAAAAGCTCCCATAAGTAATTGGTAGCAGTGTACTTTAATACATTAAATGAAAGTGAAAGGTCCAAAAAAAGGAAGTTGATTAACTTCAATGTAATAGAAAATTGACACATGATAATTATGATTATAATACCTCAGTAGAAGAAATAAACTTATGAGTGAGAAGATAGCCCAACTCCAGCCAGGGCATTTTTGATGGATTAGCAAAAGCCATTAGGGAGAGATTGTTACCATCCCGTATACTCCAGTAAAACTCCGTTTTTATGCCTGAACTTTATTGTAGTACAGGTGATACTGGTAATGCAGGTCATACTGGTAATGTAAGTAATGTAGGTAATGAAGGTAACGTAGGTAATGTAAGTAATGTAGGTAATGTA